GTGATTAAAGCAATAAGGTACGAAAGGCTGTACTTTATCGTCCAATCCAGTTGGAACGGTTGTTAGGCCCTATCTCGCACCATCTCATTCATTCACATCGCTCATGACGTCCACCTTAATAGTTCGATTTCGAAAGCTCTCATTGCTCCCCAAACCCATCAAACCCATCGATCCCATCAAGCCCATAAAGCCCATCAAACCCACCAAACCCATCAGACCCACCAAACCCATCAGACCCACCAAACCATCAAACCCACCAAACCCATCAGACCCACCAAACCCACCAAACCCATCAGACCCACCAAACCCACCAAACCCATCAAACCCATCAAACCCATCAGACCCACCAAACCCATCAAACCCATCAGACCCACCAAACCCACCAAACCCATCAAACCCATCAAACCCATCAGACCCACCAAACCCATCAAACCCATCAAACCCATCAAACCCATCAGACCCACCAAACCCACCAAACCCATCAAACCCATCAGACCCATCAGACCCATCAAACCCATCAGACCCACCAAACCCACGCAAGGTTGGCGGTTTGAGCCCCCGCCTGCTCCATGTCCCATGTTGAAGTGTCCCTGAGCAAGATGCATAACCCCTAGGCCAAAATGTAAACAGCCACGGGTTAAAAATGTAATGTAAGTTTGGATAAAAGTGTCAGCTAAATGACCTGTAATGTATAATGTACCGCCCCGCCCCGTGACTCACTCTCAACCAATCAGAACGCTGGATTTCATCTACCTGTATTATAATAGTAAATAATACATTTAATACCAGGAGGTTTGAAACCAATTACCCTTAACAGGAGGAGGTTGAGCCATGACTACACTTGAGTCATTGTTCTTTTTTTTAAACAGTTAATTGATGCTAAATACAACCCTTTCTATAAATGTACAATACAGAAACAACATAATTGGCCAATCTTTCCCCACTTTCCACTGATAAATAAATCAACAACCAACAAATGCATGGATGATAAAAAATCTCAAATATTTCTTCTAACGTCATACATGGCTGAAAAGTGATCATATCAGTTGTCGTAAATGGTCTTAAAAACCGAGAGAGTCCTTTGAGGGCCCCCTTTCACACAATGCAGGCTCCTCTGTGGAGTGAGGAATCTGGGTTCACCCTTGTTCTACAGACGGAGAGCTGAGTGCAGCCACATCTGTGGGCGATATAGACAGAAACGCAGGCTGCCACCAGACCACACTTTAATGACCATGCAGAGCTCGGCCTTCAAATAAACTGTTGAGCTTTGTGGTCCCATCTGCCTCTACTATTCCTGCACACACCCAGCTGAAGGCACCGCGGGCCTGCCCACTTCTGGCCTGAGCTGAACCACGGCCTGGAATAGGAGGTGTGGGTTTACGGGGGGCCGAGGAGGTTGGGTGTGGCGGGACCTCGCTGAGGGAAAACTTCTCGATGTGTGATATCAGGAGACGGCAGTTACAGTACAGTCGCATAATAGATGAAGGTTACTCCTTCTAATGGTAAAAATAGTAAAAATAAGTCTGATTATAAATCCGATTGTATAGAAGTCTGTGAAAAAAGTATTCCTCACTGGATTTATTCCTTCAGTAAACACCTTATGGTCTCAACCTCTGATCTTTATCAATACAGCATAATGTTCATTTAGTAAATGTTGGTCCATTTAGACTCTCATAGAGCATAAAGCGGCTGGCTCTACAGTGATTGACAGGTTCCTGGTGCTACCGTCACTCTTCTGCATTCCAAATGTTGTCACGTTCACTGTTTGCAAAAAGTAAAGATGGCGAGGGCCGAACTTCAGGAGTCGAGGCTTCAAAGAACAAACCGACTGACCAACTTCTGCCTGCAAACTGCTAAAGACGTTTACACGATGGGAGCGTTTCATTTCGTCCTATTAATTTGCATGTCAATGAAGCTCAATGTTACGATTTGTACTATTCTTGTTACACAATACTGTGACGCATATCACCATCAACAGTCAAAGTTGAAAGTTGAAAGACGTGAACATTTCCAGCATGAATCTACTAGGACCATGAATTACATTTATTCAACCAGGATAACATGAGATCAGAAGGTATTGTTTTCTGACTTTGCAGTGAGGATGCGGTGAAGTCGAGAAAAAGGAGAAATAGAGAGATTAAATTCATAACGGGGATTTCTAAATGCAATGTGGTTATGTTAGTGTGGACACGGGAGGATCGTTATTGCAGCAAACCAATATTATCCTGAGCGCCAGGGTCAGGGTCTGTATAGGCTGTGAGATCAAATCTCCCTCTGGGTCAGTGAACCTAAGAATCCCTCAGTCTGAACTAGGGAACTCACGTTGTGACCTCCACATAAACTGTAGGCGCTCATTCCTTCTTGAGCAGAGCCGAGCTACCAAACTGAATCACCTGGGTGAAATACATCAAACCCACAGAGGCGGCTAATGTACTAGAACCCAGAATAGATGGATCAGATCGGCTATCAGATGGCAACGGGTAAATACAACCAGGGCACATTTGGGAAGGATCAAAACCTGAGTGCCATGCATTAGACACATTCTGCAGAAAAACCCTAAATGAAAAAGGCAAAGTTGAGCTCGTCTTGTCTTTAACTACTAACTGCGCTGGATGTAACCACCTTTATCCGCACATAGAGCCTCTCAGAAGTGGTAACTAAGTGATAGAGCACTGATACAGTGATGGAACTGGTTATTGTCGTAGAATATAGTTAAGTGTTTTTATTACCTTATCGTATAATCCAAGGGAGCAGCTTGAGAGCTGAGCTATCCATGTGTTGGTGTTAGCTGCTAGATAGCTAACAGCTAGCTAGCACAATGAGTTATTGGCATAACTAACTAACTAACTGCTAAACTGCAAATGGGAAAGGGGTTTTCAGCAGTTACCCAAATGCATCAGGTGCATTCAATGGCCTGGAGTAAGTGGAGCCTGGCAGGATGAACGAAAGCGAGTGCAAAGGAGGTATTTTCATACTTCAGGCTTCCACTTGTACTCTTCAGACAGAGAGAAGAATCAGTCCAACTGCTGACAGCTAAACAACAACAGTATTAACACAACATTTCCAGTAACTGCCTAAACCCCTCTAAACGGAGCCCTTCCCCCGCCGCTCTAATCCGCGGCCCACTTCCCGACTCTTGTAACACAAGCGAGGAGCTGCAGTCTATTCTGCTAGAGGTTCACAGCAGGACTCGTCCACTGTCTCATCTCATCCTCTGCTAGTGTCTCCATCCATCATCTGTGGGGGGCCGGAGCCAATTCCAGCTCATACTGAGAGGCACACCGCCAGGCTCCATCAGGCTCACATTCACACCTGTAGTTAGGTTCACCTGGTCTGTACTGCGGGAATGAAAGTGATGCACCGCGGTTGTGATCCTGCACCATCGGAGCCCACCAGGGAAAAGCCAATTTCACTGGCTGACAGAAGTTGATGTTTACATTTATGGTTTTAATAAATACAACATTGGTGTTGTCGTAAGACCCTTTGCAGACACACAAATTGCAGTGGGATCGCGATCGCAGATTTGAATGGAAACCAGCTTTTGACCTGTCAGGGAAAAGGTTGCACAAACAACTTCACACTCAACACGCTTCCTTGGGTTCCCACACACCTTTCACGGTAAGCACATGGATCTCATGACCACAGACCAACAATGACTACAGGTAACCTAGGCTTAGCACGGGCAGGTCAGCCAGCTCACTCCCAAGGGAGGAGACCCTCAGTGGCGTACTGGGCTCCTTTAATAGATTCACTGTTGCCGTCGGAGCCGATGGAAACCCGCAGGTAGGCTCTCCAGCTCCGTTGTTTGGTTATACCTTGGACACCAATTGATTGTGGTTAGACTTATGGAATTATCCCTGCATTGATGATACACCTCTATCATCATCATTCAATTCTCAGGCAAAAGAGAAAAGTCTCACTGGGTGGTGTGAGCACTTGGGTGAGCAAATTTCTCCACTTTACAACGAGGATTAGTCGCCCATTTATTGTTGTATGTTTCAAGCTGACCTACATGTCTCGCCCCTGCCCTCCCCCTCTACCCTGCTCTTACCCAAACCGCCATATGGCCAAGGATTACAAAATGCCCCAATGCATCCCAAATGTCCCATTGTTACAGAATAAAGGGAAGAAACACCATTTATGTAGACCACTGTGGTCCAGACACTTCCATAAGTCACTTTTAAGCCAACCATTACAGGATAGTCTCATTTTTAATGCAAACAAAATCATCAGCAACTGTAATTAGTACTGTGAAGGACTTTGTTTCCCCCAGTAGATGGGAAGAATTTTAGTTTTAGCGTTCAAATAAAAAGATAACAACATGTTAAGTAAATGTGAGTAGTGGGTGAGCTACTCTGTAGTATTAAGTAGTCAGTCTGTCCACCCTTCCACAAAAGTCCACTTTATCGCGGGGGATTGTGCGTGCTGGAAGGGCAAACGTGGCTTTCACCGAAGCAAATACCCGAGTGTGGGTGGGGTTCGGGAGAGGGTATGGAGAAGAACTTTCGGTAGACCACACGGAAATTCTGGCAAACTGGGAGACAATGAGAGAATGCAGGGTTTGGCTCAGGCTGAGTTCGGCAGGGCAGAAGAACCTCTCAGTCCAAACCTCCAAACCCCATCAACACATAGCCTGAGAAAGAGGCGGGGTGAGGCCTCACCATATTCCTGACGAGTGCTCCACAGCGAGGCGCCCGGTGTAGAGGAGGTTCACCCTGAGGTGCTGCAGGTCTCCGCTAACAACTCTCCACGTCTCCTGGAGGTCTGTGACAGTGCTGGTGCACCTGGGTGTCGATTTCTGTTTCTCTTTTGTGGGACTAGAGGGCTTTGTTCAAGTAACCAGCAGAGGGTTTTCGGTGGGGGGGGGTTGCCGGTCCAGACTACATGTGTTTTGTGGACATGGATAAAGCTGACATTAGTGTCTCCCGGGGAGTCTTCTGTGGATTACTGGCGATGGGTTATCAGGCCATCTGTTCCCCGTGTGGCCAGAGTGAGAGCTGTTTTCAGTGTGCGTTGGATAGGACGCAGTGTTTATCATTAATTACCTAGACTTTGCCAGCCAAGTGCATTTGGTCCTGCCAAAGTTTCAGCGTGAACCTGAACAGGTAACAGGTGAGGGACGGCCTGATCCGCTGCTACCTTGTTGAAGTGGTTTGGGCATCTGATCAGGGTGCCTCCTCCTACGAGTTTTTACCTGCCACGTCCAACTATAGGAGATGTAGGGTCGGATCCAGAACGTACGATCGCTAAGTTACCTCACTCTTCTTACTTTAACTTATTACTGCCGCTGCCCTTACAAAGCATGTGCTGTTGCACGCGGTATCCCCTCAAATGGGACATGAAGACGTCATCTTAACATTGGAGCTTGGATCTGGACCGTCTTCCTCATATATTTACTGCGTAGAAGATTATGGCTCACAGTGGCCATATCACCATGTTGGCTTGCACTAAATTACAATCATTAAAAGGGACATTAGCCTTCAGGGTAAGGACCGGCCACATCCGGATCTGTCTGAATGAGCTCAGAAGGAGACTGGCGTGATCACGGCTTACTTTCCCATCATGGAATTACTCAAAGCAACATATCGCCATGTCGGGGACTGAAAGGCAACAGCTTGTGTCAATTTAAATACGGTGCAAAGGAGAAAAGAGCCATCGGCACGGAGTTAAATCTGACGGGTTTCACCCAACAGAATCCGAGTCACGGTGATGTTAGTTAAATGTGACGCCAATCAGCGTTTTCCTTCCTTTTCTTTGAAAAAGGTGATGATGTCGTCATAAAATCATGTACAATAGGACGTGGTTTGTCTGGGGGTGAAACAGATTCTGGGCTCTGCGGCTGGACGGGGATTAGAGATATTTATTGTTTCAGGCCGCGGTGAGCTGCTGTCAGCAGGTTTTTTGTGCGCTGTGTGCAGGGGGGCCGAGCAGGCTGAATCGGGTGGGCTTTTCACCGCGCCGTGTCTGTGTAAATGTCACAAGTGTAGTGTGCATGTGACAATTTAATACAATACTGTATGTGAGGGGATATTTTAACACGCGCCGCTAGTGTGAGCGCTAGGTGAGTTGCTCCTGGTGGGGTCTCTCGGGGTAGTTGTGTGCAACGGGTCCCTCTTCAATCACATGTAAACGATGCACTTTGTTTTGCTATTTCAGCCACTTTCTGTCTATCTTTGCATTTGCATCTGTGTTTTTGAGAATTGATACGTCACCAAATATTATAACGTGTGTATTGATCTTTATAATACCAGACAAAAACATGGTGGAGGAGTATGTCATTACAAGAGGAGCGCAGGACGCACTGGTGCTTGTGGGTCACGTGACCGCCCCTTCGAGCTCTGTGTACCTGTAGGAACTTGCGTCTGCCCGCCTCTCTAGCACCGGAATGCTCGTCTACTGCAAAGACACGTCTAACTCCCCCATTGAAGGCATATTAGGAAGGATTATCCTAAATAAGAGAAGGGATGACTAACAGCTGATAAAACCAGTTTCAGTGTTTGCCGAGACACCTGACAGTTGGCTTTAAATGGACATGCATCGGCAGAATGCATTAGTTCTATAAGCCCGTCATCCAGGGCCACGAAAACCTTTCAGCAGAACTTCTCCTGTAGTCAGGGTTTCAGTCACCAATCACCTCCTCCCTGCATAATGATGCTTTCCAACATCAGCCTCGTTTTCAGCATCAGAAAAAAAGCAATAAAACGTTTGACAGTCCTATTTTTTTCACCCTCACAGGCGATTCAGTATAATATAATATATATATCAAATAATAATCATCATCATGATATGAAATGTACTGTACGGGTAACTCCACTCATCCATCGCAAAAAAAGTCTCACTTCCCTCCCGTCTGAGGTTGGAAGTTGTAACACGTACAGACCAGGAAATATGTACACAGTATATATATATATATTTGTTTCATCGCAGTGGTTTGGGATCTGTCACTGAATACGCGAGTTTAGGTTAAGGGACGGTACCTGAACATCTCTAAGAACTAGACATCATACTACTGTGGAAGTAGACCGTTGCCACAGCATTCCTTTAAAGTAGAAATTAGAGCCCATAATTCCGCCAGGATGCAGACGGAGCATCGCAGGCTCCTGCAGACTGCACATCCACTACTTCTGGTTAACTACATGGGGCCTGGCTCCTGGGGCGGCAGGCTGGCAGCGATCAGTGCAGCCTGGACGGAGAAGCGATTTCACATTATTTCACAGTGAAGTCACGGTTGGAGCCGCAGCCAAAGCAGCTCGAGGAAAACCCTGAATAGAGATTTCCTCAGCGGCAGGAATGCAACACTTACACCACACTAAAAACAAAGTGAAATGTGGATCATGACAGAAAGCAGACTGTGTGGAGGAGGAGGGAGGAAAAATGCCTTTAAAAGGGAGACACTGACGGTGAACAGAGCAAAGGAAACTTCCCTGGTTGAATGCTTAATAAAATACTTTTCCCATCACAAGTTTATAACAATATGCAAATCGAACACTGAGTTATCAAATCTGTGCTTATTTGCAATACGAATATTGGTTAAGGATAGATTCAAAATATATGCACCAACAGTTTATTCATTAAGGGAATTATTGATCTCTAGATCACTAAATAAATTAATAGAAAAAAAACTAAATTATAATAACATTATTAATAATATATAAACAAACTCCTGTGTATCTGGATCTGAAATCTGAATATAGATAGGAATGTTTTAACTTGACACATTTTGTGAGAGCACCGAGAAACGTAAGTTAAGATTCATATGGTTACTTTTGTGGGACGTTGAAAGGTGCGACGGAGGCCTGATGTCGCGCTCCCGGTGCGTTGCTGGACGTGTGGTGTCACAGGAGCAGCCGCGGGTCGGCGCGAGCGTCTCCCGGGGGGGAAACAGCACATGCGCGGGTCGGAGAGGAGTAAACTGGCGCTAAACGCGCTTCAGGTACCGACAATGTTCCCAGCGCGGAGGAAGCACTGCGCCACAAACGCCACGTACCTTCGGGCTACACGGCCGTGGACTCCGAGGGCTCCAAAGCCAACACAGCAGAAGGCGCCTTGTTTCCAGGTTGCAAAATGACCATAAAACCCATCTGGTCCTCCTCCAATTACACTTTCATGAGGATTTCAGGCGCGTTTCGGCGGTTTAAATCCGTCGCGAGAGTAAAGTGGCGTCCGGTGAGCTGCAACACAAAAAGTAGCTCCAGAATGGCAAAGTCCGTCCGGCAGATGACGGCTACTGGCGGCCGCGTCGGTCCTTCTGCCCGGGGAGGGATGAGAGGCTGCGGGGACTCGATGAGCTTTCATTCGGCCGCCCGGGTCTCAGGCTGCGGGCGGGGGGCGGAGTCAAACCGGCCACGAACTGAACTCCGCCCTCCCCGGCCCCGCCTCCGCCCCCGACTCCACCCCCTCCCGCACTGCGTGGACAGCGAGGTGGCCTAGTGGGACCCGACATCATGACAGCGCGACACTTTATTTATTTAAACATTGCATTGTCGTATGTGACGTATGGGGCATTCCACCCAATTGGTTCAAATTACCCCAACAAGAAAAACTATTTGCCAAAAAAAAATTGAAGACATGGGTATTTAATAGGAATATGTTATGGTCTATTTAAAACCAAGACTTTCAATTAGATAGAGATAAGGTCATACACACACACTGTCCCCAACCCTGACATCTACATTTCAATTTCTGTAAACAGCACACCATTTTTAGATTTGTATTATTACATTATGGTTAAGTTAAAAAAGAAGAAGTTGTCAAATTTAGATTTATTTGGGGTTTTAAAATGAATTTTAAAATTAAAAAACTATACCTAAAAGTTCATGTCTCCAGTTGTGACTACCAAAATAGTTTTAGTCCTTTGGCTGGGCCTGACTTTTAGCTACACACCTGCACTTTTGACCAGTCCCTTTCCCTCATGGCTGGATGGTAAGTAGCTAAATCCTATACTGTTGATTACATTGTATCCCAGAGTAAACATTTATTGGTGTTATGCAAACCTTTATGTTTGGATGTGTGTACACCTCTTCACAGACGTGTCTGCTAGCCATCTGCTCAATAGCTTTCTCTGGTTAAGCTCAAAGTTGGCCAGAATTATCACTACCAAAACTAACATTCCAACACATTTGTATAGCTTTAAAAAAACACAAAAATATTTATAATATAAACAAGGCAGAAACATGCCACTATTATCATTATTATTAGAACATGTATTTACAATAATTTGCATTTATAATAAACAGCATAATAATACTATGTTTTGATGCAGATATATAGGAGCACTAACTCAAGAACCTGGCTACCAGCACAAAGCTTTGTTAGTGGGTTTTTTTTTCGTATGAGTAAGTAAATAGTAACAGTTACATTAGAAAACACAGGTATTATATTTTTAGAAAGGTGTAAAAAAGGGGACATAATGATATTAAAGCCATTGTGGCTGAAGGCGGAAGACAGTGTTGTTTTCTGGACATGCACAAGGACAGAATAATGGGAGGAAATTATGTGACATTGTTAGTGTAGTCTGCTGCGCAGGAGGGTCGGCCCTCGACCCCGTCCTCATCCTGCAGTCGGGTCATCAGCGGACATAGGATGTCCTTTCATGTTATGCTCCACATCAAGGCTGCAACCAAGCCCCTCTGCAAGCCATGTCATGTCTCACCGCTTGTTTGACCCTCACCTGACCTTTAATGACCATATAAACACCTGAGCATCTCGGAAACATCTCCAAACTCCGCCCACTGTGACCCTGTCAGATGGAGAGAAGCTTGTCCCTGACTACTGTAACTCACTCTTACTGGAATCACAGGCAAGAATATCCTCACACTACAAAACATCCAAAACAGCGCTGCCAGGATCCTGATGACAGTTCGGAAATATGAGCACATGACACCCGTCCTATAGTCACTACACTGGCTCCCCGTCTCATTCCGGATTGACTACAAAATCCTGCCACTCACTCATATATGCATGAATGGACATCCACCTCCTTATCTGCAAGAACTACTTACTCCCCTCAAGTCTGCAAGCAGCTCGCTCCTCCGGGTCCCCGACGCCTATGTTCTATTCCTATATACCGGCTCTGTGGCACTCTCACATTTGTTTGAATGAAAACGTGTTACGAATAAAATGAATTATTATTATTACTAGGATATCAAACCTCCTTTTTTGTGAGAGCATAGAAAAGTTTTACAATAAAAATCCTCTCAAACATAAGTTAAGGAACAGTGGAAAATTCGTCAGAATAAATGGTTAAATAACAAGTTCACAAAGCTATTCAGCCAAATGTGCATTTATTCATGTTTTTGTCTAAAGCAACGTAGCAATGACTGGCACATCCTCTTTGTTGTTGTTCTTCCAGGAGCAGCTAAAGCTGACCCTGTACTAGCATGCAATGAGGCTTGACGTGAACATGAGATATTCCTCTTGCAGGAGAACCTGATGTCGTAATTATGTCACAAGATAATATTACAAATTAAATTACAACATGCACAGGAGGAATACCCACAAAATGTGTAATATCATCATGGGATATACAGTGCAAGGGTTTATTTGTCCTTGGCTGTGGCTGCAGCGTACCAGACGCTGATGGAGGAGCAGAGGATGGACTCCATGATGGCCGTGTAGAAGTGGACCATCAGCGTCTTTGGCAGGTTGAGTTTCTTCAGCTGCCTCAGGAAGAACAACCTCTGCTGAGCCTTCTTGGTGATGGAGCTGATGTTCAGCTCCCACTTGAGGTCCTGGGTGATGATGGAGACCAGGAAACGGTGATAGGATAGGACTTTAGGAGGAAACATTTATTAGCCAAAATATGTCAAACATACAAGGAATTTGTCTTGGCGGTTAGTGCGCGACAGTAGACAGACAAGACAACAGTGCACAAGTAATAAAATAAAGTGGAATGAAATGCTAATGCAATGGGTTAGTAGAATAAGGCTAAGGCTATGGGTTAGTATAAAACAAGAGAATAAAGTTTAAAAAAAATTAAATATTAAAAAGTTAAAAAGAAAAATATTAAGCATAAAGTGCACTAACAAACAAGTAACAGACAAGTGACAAAGATTTACCAATCTCAAAGGAAAATTCTTGTTCCACTTTCACAAAAAATGAAAAGTAAAAAACAATAGAATCAAGATATAAATATATGAATGATACAAATTATTAAGTGTTAAATAAATAATACTGACACAGTCACACAATGCAACACAATAGCAATACAATTAGGGGGGATAAACAAAGAAACAGTGTATAAGTTAACAGCTTGACATGAAACGTAATATTGGGAATGATATTATCTCTCTCTCTCTCTCTCTCTATGTATATATATATATATATATATATATATATATATATATATATATATATATATATATATATATATATAGTTATCGGACCGTGCGAGCGGTCGGGTCCTCTCGGCGTCTTCCTGCTGGATACGTTCGGTACCACAGTCACTACGCGGTCGCCATATTGGATCGACATTATAAGGAAGAGGGGACGGTGCTCCGGATGACGACGGCACCCGGGCCGCTGCAGTCTATTCGCTAAACAGCCGAGCCAGCCGCTACATGGTGGACAGCGAGTAATTGTGTCCAACATCTCGGGCGGCGTAGTCCGGGGCGCGCGGTTCTCGTCGTCGTTCATTTGTCCGCAGACATGACTTCCTTGGTCCAGCGGAGTTCGGGCCTCGTGCAGAGGCGGACCGAAGCCTCGCGCTGCGCCGCCGACAAAGAGCGTCCGTCGGGCGAGGAGGACCAAGAGCCGCGGCGGGGAGAAGAGCACGACGATGACGATACCGGAGACTCGAAAGAAACCCGGCTCACCTTGATGGAAGAGGTGCTGCTGTTGGGGCTGAAGGACCGAGAGGTAATCGCGGACTCGTTCTGGTCCCTTTCCCGCTAGACATGTTAACGTTAGCTGTGTTCCTCGCAGCCCAGGTAACGTTAGCTCAACGTTAGCTTCACGTTAGCCTCCTTGTTTGCTACGCGGCTAGCACCGGCTAACCACAATAAAAGGCTTCAGCGCTGCAGACCTGGCAGCTTTGTGTGTTTCGGTGCAACACGGTGACGGTGATCCGACGTAGAACATGTAATACGGTGTCGATCCGGGAATTGGATGTTGTCTTGGGACAAGGAGTCTTTTTGAGACGGTTGTTCCCATCGCAATGCTAACGCTAGTGAGCAAGCGTCAGCTTAGGAGGAGACGTGGTAAACCGACAGGTGACTGATCTGGTTAGTGGCAAAGGGAACGCTGAATGTAGCACAGTGCAACTCTGGATCATGACCGCGAACCTGAGATGGAGAGTCATTTACATCCATCATTTGAATGGAGATGATCTGTATCTGAGTGAGTGACGGTCATGCCGCGCACACAAATGTTTCTGAAAGTTCCCACAGGTGGCTGATGGTTTTTTGGTCAGTCTTCCAACCAACGCTGAGAGCGCGTGTGTAGCTATGCACATCATAACAACGTATAACTACTACGCCTGACCAGCAATGCAAACACACAGCCGCTGCAAAGTGATCCGTACCAGTGAAAGCTTAGGTTAATGCCGGCACTGCGGTGCATCCTCCTACCTCCAAAACGAGGCCTGGTCAGCCTCAGCCGGGTATTCCACATGTCTCTCTCCAGCAACGCCAGATACGTAATCTATGATCTGAGCTCGACCAACATGATGGTGCCTGTCTGTATGTTCTGGCCTGTTGTTGTTTGCGCGGCGTGATTGTGACGTGTGTCTCCGTCGTGCAGGGCTACACCTCGTTCTGGAACGACTGCATTTCGTCGGGGTTGCGAGGCTGCATGCTGATTGAACTGGCCCTGCGAGGACGTCTTCAGCTGGAGGCTTGTGGCATGAGGAGGAAAAGTCTGCTGGCGAGGAAGGTAGGACACGTGTCTCTGCTCACGCCCCTGCTGCCTTTTTTTAATTTTTTTTGGACATGCCTTTTCAGCTCGTACATTCCTTTTAGTTATTTCTCTTCAAATATCCACATAGATGTATCCGTTCTTATAATCCTCCCATGGATAAATCACAGGGCCTATGGCATGTTTGTCAGGCGTGAAGCAGCATCTCACTGCATAAGAATCCTCAGGACATTTTAGGTCGACGATTAAATATCGAATGCTTATGTTAACCAAAGCCCTCGATTCAGCGATTGACCTCAGATGTCCTGGTTTAATGGGTAACTTTCCACATGGCACACAGCCCATTGTACAGATGAATGGATTTTTTTTGCCAAACTATTGGATTTAGTCAGTTCTAGTGTGACGAAAGGTGTGTTTCATAAGCGTAACCTCTCCCATGTTCAAAATTAAACCCAGCAAAGAAGCCGGCCGAATGTCCCGTGGTAACTGTCCACCGTCTCTCTCATACGCAGGTGATTTGTAAGTCGGACGCTCAAACGGGCGACGTGCTCCTGGATGAAGCCCTGAAACACATCAAAGACACGCAGCCCCCGGAGACGGTGCAGAGCTGGATCGAGCTGCTCAGCGGTGAGTCGAGGAGAGCGACTCGAGACGACAAGTCGAAGCTCTGCCGTTACCCCACGGCTTGTATGCGCCGTTCCTTATATTTCCAACCCAAATGCAACCTTTCATTTACATTTGCTGCTATTCCATGACGACACCACATCAATACGAGCATCTTCCACCTTTGACCTGACCCGCCAGTTATCGCTCGTCCTGCTTTTTGCTCTTTGCCTCGTTTTTCGTGTCCCCCGTCCCTGGCAGTCCTCGCCAATGGTCCCGATTTCGTGGGTCCTTAAATTGAGCTTCTAATCTTTCTGTTAAACATTCCACACTTTCCTTTATGGGTCTATGAAAGCAACACTTGTATTATTGCTTATTTTAAAACTCGCCTGGGGCGCTTTTCCTTTACACTGACATCTGAAGTTCCAAGAGCAGCTAAATGTTCTTGCATGGCCTCTCCCCCCTAAAGGCCACATGTCTTCTGCCCTGTCGTCTCCAGGAGAGACGTGGAACCCCCTGAAGCTCCACTACCAGCTGCGGAACGTGCGTGAGCGGCTGGCCAAAAACCTGGTGGAGAAAGGCGTCCTCACCACGGAGAAGCAGAACTTCCTGCTCTTCGACATGACCACGCACCCGCTGACCAACAACAACATCAAGCAGCGGCTCATCAAGCGGGTGCAGGAGGCCGTGCTGGACCGCTGGGTGAACGACGCGCAGCGCATGGACAAGCGCCTGCTGGCGCTCATCTTCCTGGCCCACTCGTCCGACGTGCTGGAGAACGCCTTCGCGCCGCTGCTGGACGACCAGTACGACCTGGCCATGAAGAGGGTGCGCCAGCTGATGGAGCTGGAGCCCGAGGGCGAGAGCGTGAAGGCAAACGCCAACGAGCTGCTGTGGGCCGTGGTGGCCGCCTTCACCAAATGAGGCTGCCGCGTTGGGACGTGGCGCTGTACTTTTGGGGGGAGAAGCGGGGCACCGGCTCGTTGACGGGACTGAATGCGGTTGACAACAAGCCGTCCTCTTTTCTTACCCAGCATCTTTTTTCCCTCCCTGGTGAATGTGCCGCCCCCCTCATGTGCGTTCGCCTCTGCCAACAGAAAAAAGACCTGGTGGCGGGTGATGCGAGCGATTCATGTCCTTTTATTTTCTATTGGGTGAATCTGAACGTGTTGCAGGATGCTCATGGGGACAAAGCCGGGATGCACACATCAGCTGATCGAAACGCATCCATAGTACATGTACATCTATATATGAACACGTATAGATGTACATGTACACGGAGCCCCACACCGTCCCCACGAGGGGGGGGGGGGGGGGCATTTTGGACAAGGCGCGGGTATCTCTCAAAATGGACAAAAAAGAACAATTTCCTGTTCACCAGACCTGCATGTCTCCCCCCACCAAACTCTCCCATCCCCTCCGCTGGGAGGTGCGTGGAAGATCTCTGGTTTTTGTCGCTGGGACGATAAGGCCACACGTGCATGGGCCATGGGGGGAGCAACGACACGGCGACCTGTGACTTAAAGTTCGAACGTAGCTCCGTTGATTCTTTTTGGGGGGGGGGGGGGGGGCTAATGAAGAAAAAAGAAAGGGAAGCCAATATGCATAGCGTCACTTGACAGCCCTTTTGAGGGCATTTGGCTGATAAAGGTAGAATGAATAATCCGCTCCGGGCCAATTGACGGCTGATACAGATATGATGGAAGGAGAAATAAAAAACACTAGATATTAATGAACCTCTGTGTCACAATACGTTTGACCCACATCCTCTGTTTCCTATTGGTGTCTCATCTCGATGCAATGTCACAAAATACACAGCAGGATGCGTTGGGGATCCTGGATGTGACTCTTAGCAGCGTCATCTGCTTAATGCCGCCAGCGTGTCATTTATGGGAGGTTTTCTCACCAGGGATGATGAATGAATGAATAAATCAAATTGAAATATTCTAACTGAGCCTGGACGAGACCCCTTCGCTTGGTTCAACACCTTCAGTACAGGTAGAGGTCCCATGAAACCGGCCCCTGATGCGGGTCAGAGGGAACCCTGCAGTGTGTTGATGAACACGGCGGCAGCAGTCGCTTCTCTTCATGGGACGTTCAGGGATTCAAACCAAATCCGTTGCATCTGATTGGAGCTCAGAGGAAGGTGATTTCCATACATGCAACAATTACATCGATGGACAAAGTGATGTCACTTTTGAGCACGTTAGTTAATAATGTTTGCCTTTCTAAAATCCAGTTGCATATGTTGAATCGATTAATTATGTGACCCAGATAGATATATATAGTGCAACGTTAACAGCGTGATTATTCTCTTGCTGCGGCCCCATGTGACGGCCGGACCCTTTGGTGGAGCTTGGCGAGCAGCCCGTTGATGCCCCGGAGGTGCTCGGGTGGAATGAGAGCCCGTTGTCATGGGAACAGGTCAGTGTCCTGAATCGCTCAGCGACACCAGACAAACCGGATCCGACGGGTTATCGGTCCAGGGAATCCAAAAGGTGGGCTCACATTCCAGATGTTGATGTGTACACCTCAGTCCTGGGACGTGTTGGCTGTCCAGAACTGTTCTCGTGGTCAGAGCCGTTCTCAGTGTCACACGCCTCATCTGTGGGACGGTTCTTCCTGCTGCTCAGCCCGGTGGGTCTGGTGCTTTATGACGCGTTGTTCGCAGCCCTCGGGGAGGAGACTTCACAAGATGCCGCCTCCACCGTTGGAGGGAATATGTGTGTCGTCCAAAATGAAAAAAGGACCTCTAGTCTCTTGTCCGCTTTCATTTTTTCGCGTTAAAGAAAGCAAAGAAGTGCCTGATTTCAAAACGGAGTCCCAAGTTGTCTTTGAGGATTTCGTGTGTTTTTGCAAAACGTTTCAATGGCAACGGACACTCACCGGCCACCTTGTTAGAACCACCTGTTCAATCAGGAACTCAAATGACCCCTCGTTACAACCAAGGAACGCGCAACACGTGGGACCGTGAGGACGGACTACAGCAGCAGAAGACCCTCCTGTCAGCCAACAGGGAACCGACTGCATCACATGTCCCCCTCCTTCTGGTCGCTACTTCCAGCAGGAAGATGGAACGGGAGATTCAGCGTAGCAACAGCGTGATGCCATCGTGTCCACCTGGACCAACGTCCGTGAGGAATGAACACCTTGTGGAGGTAGAATACCAAGAATTCAACACCAAGGCGGTTCTGAGGGCAAAAGGGAGGCGAGGCGTAACTGTTTCACTGTGACAAACAAGTGGACCTTGAGGAGTAATTCCTTCTACTACAAATCTTTTCCTTTCACTTTCTTTTTTGTTTTTAAAACCGGTTCAAGACCAGTGGCTGAATTTGAATGCGTGAAATGGAACCTGTACAAATTGACCACCGGGTAGGGCCGGGGACCCGAGCGCCGTGCACTTTGGACATGTGGCGCGTTCAATATTAATAAACAAGCACAAGTGGCACTTTGTGTGTGTGTGTGTGTGTGTGTGTGTGTAGCAATTGGTGGGCGGGGCCTCAGGTGTAGGATCCCATTCATTTTGGCGGCGTACCCTAAACGGCGTTATGGCTACAGAACCTCAACTTCATTCAAGCAGAGCGCGTCCCCCTCAGAACCTCTCGTTTGGTTGCAAAACTGGCCTGGATGCGTTTAGAAACATGTCAGTTTGCTGTTTAGCCGTAAAGGGTGAACGCGTTGAAATGAGACGGGTCGGAGCGTATGGGGCGCGGCGGCCTGTGGCGTGCTAACGCTGCAGGGTTAAGGGTTATTAACGTGTCGCAGCCGGCAACACTACTGAATGCTGCAAACTGTAAATGACCCGAGCTGCTCTCAATTCTCCTAAAGCAACCTCGCCACATTTCCAGATGGAAGTCTTGTGGAGGAACTGACCACATTTTGGGTAATGTCTGACATTTACGTCTATTAATAACACAATAAAGGTGAATACGAGGAGCTTTAAAAACAACACTCAACAGCTTCTTTGGAAGAAATCTCCCAGTGCACATTTAATATTGATGATTGTTAGTGAAGTTATTAGTGAACGGTGGAGCTTTTAATGCCAATATGGTGATTGGCCCAATCCGATCTCCACACTCATGGACTTTAAGGTTGCCTCTTGGCAGAAAACGATACTTCTTACATTGTCCATTGTCCATCAACTTCGACTAATACGTTTTGACTTTATTGAACAGATTCAGACATTATCAATAAACGACTGGAATATAAACAGTTCAAACTGTTAAGTGGCGATCTGCCTTGTGGCTCTGTGTATTTCACTGCATGTCGCCCATAATCCAAGAGGTTTGCTCCATCTGAGAGTCCTTCATAAACCGGATCACGTCTTCATCAGACAACCAAAGATAGAATTAGATGTCAACCATGGCGACATCAAGGCAAGTAGGCCTCCCTCACGCCACCAATTCTTTGGCTGTTTTTGTAAATGTAACATTCAAACACAATCTTTCTAACACGATACACAACGATCCCTGATAACACCACAGGAAGAACCGAATGGTTAAAGAGTGTCTCCAAGCTTTGCAATAAAATATCTTAAACTACATTCAATTTTCAAATCGATGATCCCCTGTTGTTTCTAGTCCTCTCACATGGTTCCTCTCAGCTCGACCCTCATGTGGCGACGAACCTCGAAGCGACTCATTCGATCCCCTTGACCTTCAGCTCCTCTTGAACTCGACTGAGGTACTCGGGATCCGGGTATCCGTATCTGCGAACGTGAAAACAGAGACACAATTCAGTGACGCCGGCGGCTTGGTGCTCCCAATGAGCGAGACCCGGCCTTACCGAGTGGGCCCTCCGTGCGTCGATGTCTTGTGGTGGATATCGTTCCACGTGACCGCGTTGTCCCTGCCGCTGGTGGTGGACCGGCCCACGGTGAAGATGAGCTTCTGGTCGAAGGCTCGCCTCAAAAGCGCCAAGGTCCTCGCGCCCTCTGGGGAGTCTGGGAGGTATGCCGTGCGGGACGTGCCTTCGTATGGCTGACCGGGGCTGGGGTGCTCCTCCTGCGGGCCGACAGGAGAGGCGTTCCTGCTCAATGCCGCGCTCCACTAGCTTCCTTAGTGACCAGTTACTTCGTTGAGCTTTAAGAGACAGACATGTACTACAGGGAAATATTGACCCAAACAGTTCCCCTTTTAAAAAGCAAGGACAAGAAGAGGATCTCTAAATATAAAATGTATTTAAAAAAGGGCACAATTGCATTCTGTGTATGAATTTAGTTACGGATTGTCAAGAATTAAGGGACAAAAAGGTGAAAGCATTTCAAGTAAAAATGTTGAATATTTCAAATTAACTCAAATTTCCCTGATGTCTGCAAGATGCAGTTAGAATCTCCTGGAGAAGCTGCTAAATACCCTGAGTTCATTTGTGAAACGTCCTATGCCGTCTTACCCTTTGAATGCCCCTTGGAATGCAATAACGGATCGTTATTGTTCCGTGCTGCTCGTTTCCCGGCAGAGAGGAAGAGGTTTTGGTGACCTTCATCTTGCCTCCGTCGGGTTGCGTTCCTATCAGAGTGCCATGCAGCTCCCCGCACGTCGGGCACACGGGCTTGTAGGCGAAGGCTCTCTTCAGGCAGCTCCCGCAGAACGAGTGCTTGCAGCGCAGAGTCTCTTTCTCCGCCGTTGCCATCGGCTCCATGCAGATCGGACACGGGTCCTCTGTGGGGCCTTCGCCGGGCGCAGATGACGGACCCTGTGTGCCGGCACTCGCCACGTCCACCAAACCTCCGTCCGCCTGAACCCCGCTCGAGCTCCCCTTATTTTGTAAGAGGAAGTCTTTTATTCTAGCGACATGCATGAAGGGCCCCGTCACCGTCAGTGGCCCGTGGCCGCGGGCGGATTCGAAGAGGAGGTTGGGAAATGCCCCCTGCAGGTCTTTGAGGTTGCGCTGCCAACTTGCCGGGACGGATGTGACCTGCAGGTCGGACGCGGTTCTCTGGTAGAATGTGACGAATCGCTCTCTGACAAAGCCGGGGTGAACAGGTGGCGAGGAGGCGTGGCGGGATCGGAAAGTCACCCGCACCGTGCCGCTGGGATGGTGGTGCGCTGTTCCAAGGTGGGGCTGTGTTTCGATGGCGAAGCTGCTTCCTTGAATTCTCCGAAGTTCTTCGGCACGTTTCTGCTGAATGTAGGCCATGACAGCCCCGGATACGTCCACGGGTTTGACATGAGGCGGAGCGCGGGTTGGTCTACACGGGACCGCTTCGGAGCGACCCGTGACCTCCAACAGTCTGATGGAGAGATCCTCCAGCTCCTCAAAGGTCCCTCTCACTGTGTGGTAGGAGGCCCTTTTCTCCGACCGGTACGATCGAAGTATCTCCTCCAGTCTACCAGGGTCTGTGAAATCTGCCTCGTCAACGATGACACTGATGTCTGTGATGAACTGCAATGAGACGGGGCGTCATGTATGTTTCATCAATAAAAAGGTAATGTTTATTTGCTATTTTGCTGAAGGAAACACAGTGTGTATCATTAACTTTTGTTTTCCTCAGATCCAAGAATGAATTTGTAGAATTTCTCAATTGGGTTATCAATCATAGCCCTTCATAGTCCATCATAGTCCTTCATAGCTCTTCATAGTCCATCATAGCCCTTCATAGTCCATCATAGCCCTTCATAGCGTGTCATAGTCCATCATAGCCCTTCATAGCCCTTCATAGTCCATCATAGCCCTTCATAGCTCTTAAAACCCCTTACAGTCCATCATAGTCCTTCATAGCCCTTCATAGTCCATCATAGTCCTTCATAGTGTGTCATAGTCCATCATAGCCCTTCATAGTGTGTCATAGTCCATCATAGCCCTTCATAGTCCTTCATAGCCCTTCATAGCTCTTAAAACCCCTTACAGTCCATCATAGTCCTTCATAGCCCTTCATAGTCCATCATAGTCCTTCATAGCCCTTCATAGCGTGTCATAGTCCATCATAGCCCTTCATAGCCCTTCATAGTCCTTCATAGCCCTTCATAGTGTGTCATAGTCCATCATAGCCCTTCATAGTCCTTCATAGCCCTTCATAGCTCTTAAAACCCCTTACAGTCCATCATAGTCCTTCATAGCCCTTCATAGTCCATCATAGTCCTTCATAGTGTGTCATAGTCCATCATAGCCCTTGTAATGGGAAAATGATATGTGACCCTTTTAAATGCTTCATTTGTATAACCAGTTTATTAGTTGCAAGTGGTTAGATCACAAAGGCCCTGACATAAGAACTGATGTCTCCCACTTGGATTGGATGTTTCCAGCGTCATAGCTGTAGAGATTGAACAAAGTGTTTGTTATGTCTATGACCACCTTTGTTTAAGCGTGTTGGGAGAGCAAGGACACGGTCAAAGAGCTGACGTGTCTTACATGGATAAGATGTTCCCAGTACCCTGGCTGTAGAGACTCAACAAGATGGTCAACGGTTTCTGTTGACGCCACCGATATCTAAATTTAGGTATAAGAACTGCCTCGATGTGTTGGGAAGAAAAGGAGGTTCTTGACAGTCTACTGACCACGTAGCTGTTGTGACCCTTTTTCCATTGCAAGGAAATAAACGGAGAAAAGACATACTTGACTCAGAGCCTTTGTTTCTTACTTAACGATTGTCTGTGCAAAATCTTCCACCACACCCTTCATAGTCCTTCATAGCGTGTCATAGTCCATCATAGCCCTTCATAGTCCATCATAGCCCTTCATAGTCCTTCATAGCCCTTCATAGCATGCCTCTTTTACCCGGATGCACTTTTTAGGTCTGGAAAAGAGGAAATGTCCGGGTATAAGAGGACGTCTGCTTTGTCTTGTGTTGCACTTGCTTGATGTTTGACTGTGTTTGGAAAATTGTTGACTTGCTAGTTTAGCCGCTAGACATCTCGTTAGCAAGCTTGTTATAACACGCTCGGACATTGATGCTAGTATTAAGTGCTCTCGCGTCAGCTTCTTTCTAATGCTATTGTGAGGTTGGAGATGAACCAGCGCGGGATTTTAGCGTAATAAATTGGATGTGTGGCGTGAGTGCGTGTGAAAACATGGAAACACGCGTGTCACACGGGGAAACCGTGAGAGTTGGCAGCCCTGTAGCTTTGTTGCTAGCTTGACAACAACTTTCCTAACACAGTCAAACATCAAGCAACACAAGACAAAGCAAGACCCCAAATAAGTTCCTGAATAGTCCAGCAGAAATATATACGGCAAAATAACCTACAATTTCACTCATGTGGGCCGATATGATCATGAGGTCAGAATGCACACAAAATTGTACCAAATAATACACACTTGATGCAATAGGCTACATGCTGGTGGAGCCTGAGGGTGGATAACTTTTTATTTTTCGTTAAGAAAATATAAATGTGAGAATATCAAACTCTATATGCAAGTAAATGAAGCATCGTTTATCCCACAGACAGTCAAACAGATGCCAGGTAAAAAAGGGAAACTTAGTTTTTTATTTATTACTATCATAGATAAATATTCCAGTTTCGTATTTGTGGTATTGTATCGTAAGTACCGGGTACCGTAATATTTTGGCAGGTATTGTATTGAAGTCATAATGTTGGTATTGTGACGACTCTACATCATAGCCCTTCATAGTCCTTCATAGTCCATCATAGCCCTTCATAGTCCATCATAGCCCTTCATAGTCCATCATAGCCCTTCATAGTCCACCCCAGCGCATCATGACCCATCTCCCTCCAGCCTGCTTACGGCTGGTATAGTTATGTTATATTATTATGCGCGGGACTTACCTCCATACTGCAGAATCAGCCCGAACTGGCGCAACAACACCGTGTTGTGCGAGTCTCCGCGCGCACTGCGGCTGCGTTTCGCTTTCACTTTCACTTTGCGGCTCGGCGTGTTTGCTGCGTTGCACTGAGCCCTTCCGGGGGCCGCGTGCGCAGCAAAGCACTTTCACACTTTTATCCAGTTGCTTAAGCACAATTTTGAAAGCAGGCGTCAAGTTGTCAAAACGCAAGACCCGATTCACACAACCTGACACACAAGTAGCACAACACCTCAAATCTTTTGCAAAATGATACACTTCATGTATAAAACCCCATTTACGTCACCGTACGCCACACACGTGGTCCATAAGATTGGACTCTGTTTGAACCAGTTACACACTGCTGTGCAAAATTTAAAACACTAACTATTCTTTTCTAATGATAGAACCTGCTTGATTTTGGCAGAGATATTGTTACAGTAAAGTATGTAAAAGTACATGAATATGTCAACCAAACACAACACCAGTACTGCACACTAATGAAATTATATATTGTATTTCTCCACATTGTATCCATGTCTACGTGCACTATGTAAAGGTTGCATTTTGTACAGGAAATGTCGATTTCAAATTGAATACTGTAAACACAGCAACTAAATGTGTGGACACAAAAGAAAGCGCACAGCAAATGAAATACAAAAAAAATGTGAAGTTTTCAAGGCAGTGTCTAAAAAAGGCAATTAAGTGACATAACCCAGAGAGTGTGAGGCTGAGCATGTGCTTATAGTTGTGCAGGTCTGGGCTTCTGTTTTGCTCCCTGAGTGTCAGGTTTCACTAACTGTGTTATTTGACATTTTTGTGTCTAAGCAATTGGAAAAAAATAAACTACGGGTTCAAACGTCAGTTGTGGGATATAAGAAAGCTACACACATGTGCGTTTTTCACCTCCTTCCTGTTTAGTGTACTTTATACGTAAGCGCATAGCTTATTCATTATGAGGTTTTTGTCTTCCCTTTATTGCCAAAATGCACTAATTTACATATAAACACTCAAATGCATCATTTGTAGAACCGGAAACAACAGCCAAATAAATGGTATTCTTCATGCCAGATGCACATTAATGTACTCAGTATAACACTATTTCTATAAGGAGGCTCTGGCCTTTTCAGTCTCAACATGCCGTAAATAAAGATTTAGTGGGTTCACTTGTAACGTCACTCATCTATAGCAAATTGTAAATTGGCTTATTTGAGGAAATTGCACTTTCTTGTTTCTTGTTCTCCTGAGTTTGTACCCTATGGTTGAATGCACTTATTGTACGTCGCTTTGGATAAAATCGTCAGCTAAATGACATGTAATGTAATGTAATTTACCTTTTACTCGGTTCGACAAAGAGCCAATTAACCTCAATCAAAAACGCTTGATTAAATAAGATTTAAAAAACTGAATAAGTAAGGAAATGAAATATAAAGAAGACAATATGTATCCCCCGGATAACGTTTGCGTTGTTGTTTCCGTTCATTCTGACTGTCGGTGGAGTGATTCGTGATTGTGTAGCGATCACTGATGTGATGAGTACTGGTTGTGTGTTTGCAGTGCTGATGCTTCTCCAGCAGGTGGCAGCGCAGCTCCGCGCACGGACCGCTCAGCGGCCATGTGACCCTCCGGGTCCCGACACGTCGGGCGGGGGTCCGCGCGCCTTCTGTGCGAGAGACGGTCATCACGCACCGCCGTCCCGCGAGCACCGGCTGCGCTGCTGCCGGGGACTGTTCGCACCGGACAATCGTCACGTTTAAAACAAACGGGCCGACAGGCCACCGGGCCGACACCGAGCCGCCGGGCCGACCCCGGGCCACCGGGCCGACAGGCCGCCGGGCCGACACCGGGCCGACACCGAGCCGCCGAGCCGACACCGGGCCGACACCGGGCCGACAGGCCGCCGGGCCGCCGGACTAGCACACGCCGCACAGAGCGTCGGATCCCGAATTCCGGCTTTAGAAATGTTCTTATGTGACTCTTTGTTTACATATTTGTGCTCTATGGATTTTTCGAACAGTATTTGTAGTTTTGGGTCGGAACGCAGTGAGTAGATGATATGTGTCTTTTTAAAAGTTCTTTTCACGCTTTTCAACAACACCAATAAGCCAATAAGCCTATTTAACGCCATAATATATACATTCATATATATGCATTATATGTTTATGTGTGCCTACACATATATATTTAATATATATATATTTAATATAATATATATTTATGTGGGTCTATATATTTAAAGATATATGTATAGTCTATATATATATATATATATGTATGTATGTTTTCCTAGTAGTTTGTTTAATTATTACCGGTAAGGGAAATAATTCATTAAACACATGATGTGAAGATAATTAACGCCCCGTATCTTTAAAACGCTGAATTCTAAAAGCTTTGCAATTGGAATAAAGATGTCAATATCGAATCATACGGAATTAATACATTAAATAAATATGAATAGATTGTTAGTGAAGGTTTTCTTCTTCTGTGGAATGGATTTACATTTTTGGATGTTCAGATATTAATGTAGCAAAGAATCTAAAGAAATCGCCTTCTACATGAATCAACCTGTTAATATTATATTATGTGGGGGGGGGGGGGGGGGGGGGCACCCCGGTTTGGATTTTCGGGAAGGGTTAAAATTTTGGGCAATTTCCGCCAAAAGGGCCCTTTAGAAAAAAGGGAAAAGAGCGCCGGATTTATATCTCAACCAAACGCGCCGGGGGGAGAAAAAAAAGGCCCTCTCCAAGGGCGAGAACGCTTCAAAAATAAACCCCCCCTTTTCCCGGGGGGGGGGGGGGGGGTTTTTTATTGAATCGAATCGAATGTGAATTTAATTCACAGGCCTTCGATGTGAATCCGTTGAACAGCGCGTGAATGTGCCGGTCGGTGTCAGAGCCGTCACGCACGCGCCCACCCGCTGGCCTCAAGGTCGGGTCACGTGCGCCCCCCCCCCCCCCCCCCCCCCCCTCACATACGTTCAAGAGTTTCAATCGTCACGTTTAAAACAAATGTTCTTACTCCCTAAAAAGAGGTCTTGATCATAATAATGATTCAGTATATTTGTTGTGTAGTCGGATGAGATCACAGCTGTTTTATTGTATCAATAAATAAGTTACATTTGGTTTGCTAATGTACTCTTATATCTTCTTATTCTTTTATTTTTGACAGTCAAATATTTGACCTATGATTGTCCTGTAATGTCAAAAATGCAGCGAAAAACGCAGTGATAATTAAGGTGGAATTCCTGTGATTCCATTTGTGCCCCATCGCCGTGCACAGCATTGATTCATTACTCATACCTGCATCCTGCCTCCTCCTGCTTCACCCACGTCGTCACGTCCTCCACACGTCACGGCATCGGGGAAAAGTGTGTCTCTTTGTCTTGCTGCCGTTGTTGTGTCCTATTATTTTAAGTCCTTGCTAATTCCTCTTTTTCTGCGACTAGAGGTGTGACCACACAGGGCCGGGCCGAATCATTCAGATCCGTTTAACTAACAGAAAAGTGTTTATTTAATGGAGCCATCGGCATCCTTGATATAAGTTCGTGAGTATCACTACGGCTTCCATCGAGGCCTGCGCCACATTAAAAGCATGTCACGAGCCTGTAGTGGACAAGAGGTTTTCCCTTTCCTCAGTGCGGGGATTTAATAATGAATCAATCGTGTGACACAGAGACCATTTGAACTCGACATTCTTCAGGTGTGCAGGTTATATTTTTCTACATCTCTCACAGCCGATGTCTTTTACTTGATACATAATCGATGGAAACACGACATCAGCTGTGTACGTGTTGTGAATCATAAAAAAAGGCAACCATTAACGTTCATCCCGTGTGGGAAACATCTCACGTATTAACTGTTATTTGAGGACACAATAGTGTCTGATCTCCCAGCAGCCGTTATGTAACAGTGGTTTCCTGGTTGTGGTCGGGTGACTAACAGGCTGCTGCTACTCTGGAGTGTGGCTGTGCTCTTTAACTCGTATTCATGGGGCACCAATCGGTGGACTATGAATGTTTCTTTGCTCCCCGTCTCCGCTGGTCCACGTCGCCTGTCCGCCAGGCCACCGGTGTAATGTAAGTGGGATTAGCTAGTCCCGATGGGCCGGTCCCACCTCGCATTGCAGCCGCTGCCCGTGTGTGAATGGGTGAATTGGCATGTAGACCCTTTCCCCGGCTGAGCAGAACCCCTCCAGCTCCAGACACAGAGCGCTCACTCTGCCACTGAACACGGCCACGAAATATATTCCTGAGCCGTGATGCTTCGTCGCGGGAAAAGTCGAGGATCCTTTCGATTTCTACCGGACTAAATACTTTGTCCAAAGGGTTTTTTGCAAGGAAGCGTGTGTGTGTGTGTGTGTGCGCTTAAAACACCCACAGTGCTACACACACAATGTACCACCTCACACTATTACTCCAGGAGGTATAAATAGTAGTGAGGCCTGCGTGGCAGAAAGACACATGTTCAAATCCCACTTTGAGAATAAAGGGCAGAGTGGAAAGACTAATAACCAAGATGCTTCTGAAGGATTGCAGGAGAGGATATCAAATGAATTTTCAGTTAGATTCTTAGAATAGTTCCTTTATTCTATAAATCTATTTATTTGATATTGGATATTCCAATGAATGTTGTGTATTTAATTTTGCTAATAAAAGTGAAAACATTAACCATTTCCTTTTCCACCACAAAGATCAAAAGTCTGTTGTAGTATGTAAATGCCGGGGAGGAGGGCTGCTGCTTCTGGAGGGTCTGTTCCAGCAGACACACACTGAGAGGAACATTTGATTTGTAGACATATGATCAGATTTGCTCTGCAGGCTGTTGGAGAACCTGAACCCACGTGTGATTATTTCAGCTAACTGTAATAACCGGACGCCTTCCATGACCATTGGCCGACCTGCTGTTTGTCACCCAGCTGACACGCAAAGTTGATGGAGTTCCTGTTCTCTGCTGGAGGAGACGGACCAGTGCAACCAGTAGCTGCACTGGGAGGTTGGCGGCATTATGAAGAACAACCTCCCTCTGCTGTCAGCAGGTACAGCCGCCGGTTGACCACCGCGCTGCCCTGAAAACATTCCTGCTATGGAAATGAATTATATATATACAATAATGTTTGAATGTGTTTAACCTGCATTGCCAGTTTAGTAATGTCTTTACCATGTAAAGTGCCTTTGACTAACCTTTCAATGGCTATAATGATAATAATTTAGATTAATAAATATTAAAATCCAATGAAAACTGTTCAGTTGTAAAACTGAATTAATATTCTCTTTTCCTTGAGACCTAAATACAACTTACTTCATTAGGTCTGAACAAATCTGTGGTCTTTGTATTGTGCTAAATCTCTCACACTGTTGTTCTCCCATAGACGTCTTTTTTTGGAAATGATCCTTTTCCTGATCTGCAACGTGTAATTACCTCAAATAATTCAAGTCCCAGCAGTTTGCTGCAGTTCCATTGACTGTAGTTGTAGCTGTGAAAGGCAGAACTGTGCTGGATGAGTTGATGTCTTTCCAACATAAACTCATTTTAGACATTTTAGAAATATATTGTCAACTACGTAGTAGAAAATATCTTTAATACTTAGGTTTCAGAAAAGATCTTGACATAAGCAGTTGGGTTTCGTCAACAAAACGACTTAGTGTTAGTGAGACGAATTGGCGTTTGGATTAAAATAATATGAAAGTCTCGTTACTGGAATAAGGAAGTTACGTGACTACTGCACCAACGTTGACGTGTGACGCGGGACGAACTCATTTGGAAGCCACGACCACGACCAACTTTCCCCAACCTTTAATGTGACACTGACCAGACGGCTCATCACTGTTGGGTTCTGACAGATGGCCTGTTTAGACTGAGCACTGATCCACATTTCCTTAACAGGCTGAAGATACAGTAACTAATGGACCGCTGTCAGCTGACCAAGGAGATAGTTACCATGGAAACAGGCATAAATGGAAGCCCTCTAACGAGCAGGGGGGTGTCCCCGTCCTTCATGCTCCACTTGTTCCCCCCTCTAAAAGCTACAAAATACACGCCGGCCGTGCAGAGGAAGTAACTTCTCAAGCAGCGTTTGACGTTTGGGGCTCGCTGTGGTGTATAAAGATGCCAAGATTGACAAATGGAGACAACAGCCAGCGGGGACCTTGAGGGAAGCCTCAGTCTCAGCACGCCACTCTCCTCCATTTCTCATCTCGACAAACACTGCGAGGGCTCAAGAGCCCCTTTGGAAACGGCATCAGATGGAGTAGGAAGTTTGCAGCGCAGTGTAAATAGCTCTCATTGTGGAGGCCGCGCTCGCTGCCAAAAGGGCAAACAGCGTCTTTATGCGAGAGGCGAGGCCGCTGTTTACACGAGAGCTGGCAGCCGCCGCGTTCATCATCTCTATGGGCGGCAGGGTGAGCACGTTACAACGCGCCGGGACGGCAACGCCAATCTGCTTTCAGCAACGCGTCTCGCCTCCTCTGAGCGCAGCGACCGACCACGCGGCGCCCGACGCCGCAGCAATTGGGTCCTTTTCGTGTGCGACGGTCTGATGGTCTGATCTTGCCATCAATTCAGCTACAAAGCCGAGCCCTCAGTCACTGTTGTTGTTTTTGTCATCAAATCTCCCCGTTTGTGGACAAACACACCAGAAACAGTCTGTGGTGTCGTTTTAATGTGACAGGTTTCTCCTTGCAGATGACTTGGGACCACACGGCGTGACGTTGTCTGATCCTGAAGTAAATCACAAAAATAATCCTTTATCAGTGTCACTGTTTCTCCTTTTTTTTGAACAGCATTACAATACGACGCCCATCTGGGTCAGAACATTAGGGCTCAGATCCGTCAGCTTTCCTCCTTTTCAAATGTTTCTCCTTCGCTGGCTCTCTTGTCATGGCAACTTCTCTTCCATTGATTGGGTCTTAAATAAATAAGGTTATTATACATTAATAACTTTAATGGTTATAAGGTTGTTATTACCCACTGACATGGATGAGTATTTAAGGACTTTGCCAGCCATCACATTGCCGGCTCAGACGCTCAACAGCTAAATGCGATTCTTGGTACCCTACCAAGGCACAGGGCTTCAACATGTGGACATGGAGGACACGACCTCTGCAGTCGGGCCTCCTCTGCTTGTTGTCTTTAAGAGCCGCTGCCTTTGGAATGAAGCCATTTTTATTTCTCACATACATATTACAGATGACGGCAGTGAACTCCAGAAAAGTCTATCATTATCTTTTCAACCGTCTGCTAAATGTCAGCCTACTTTTCTGTGTCCTTTGTCCACTTTTCTCCCCCGTCAGAAAGACGAACTATGAGAACCACAGCGCAGTGGCATGCAGGCTCTGCAGCTGGAGCCCCCGCCATGAAGAGCCGACCTGCATAGAGGCCCTGTGGGGTTTACGCCCCCCGCTCTATATTACAGCGTATAACATAATGTAAACACATTCACTTTGTGTCACGGATGCGTGGGAAGGCAGGACTCAAATGCAGACGTCAAAAGCAAAAATACTTTAATAGTCAAAAATGCAGAAAAAAGGCAGAGGGGCAAAAACACACACAGGAACAGGGGGCAAAAAGGCAGGCAGGAACTCCAGGAACTCCAGGACATTCGACAATGACGCCACAAGTGACAAGAGACACACACGGCTTAAACACACTGGGGAGGTGCAGGTGATTGGACACAGGTGGAAACAATCAGACAATCACAGGGGACGACAGGACCAGGCAGGAAGTCAAGTTACCCAGGGAGACAAGAAGCAGAAAACTACAAAATAAAACAGGAAATAAAACCCCACCGTGACACTTTGCATAACAGCACAATAACGAACCACATTGTTACCACTTGCCAGTGTTTGGTTTTGCGATTGTTACTTTGATGATAATTCCCTCTTCCTTGCTTTGTTCTGAATATAGAACTATTTCATTTGATGAATCTCCACTCCGAGAAGTAAAACTCCTCAGGGTGCAGAAACGAGAGGTCGAGGAGTCTCTGAGACCTGGTCTGTTACCTCAGTGAAGATGGTGAACATGAGCTGGTCTTCTTCAGTAGAGCACAGTGTTCATTTAGGAAACGATGATTCTTTAGCTGTAGATTAGGATAAAACCGGATTCTAACCACAAGTCCATTACCTCTTTGTGTTCCTTCCTGTTTGATTATCTTTTCTGGACGTTACATGTTTTTTTTGCGGTTAAAGCAAAACACAAAACCAGCATTCGTGAAGAACGTCTTAACAGCTCCGTCTTTGTTCTCCAGCGGCACCGTGGATGAACTCGCCCTCTGTGCCAGTGGACTCTGCTCCAGATGGACGCGCCGGGGCTGATCCCTGAGCGGAGGCAGCCGACCAAGACGCCGCATCCATTCAACGGGGGAGCCGGGCTTCTGATTCGGTTCATCGGGATCACTTCTACCTGCAGACAAGCATTAGCACAGAGTGGGTCGTCATCTTTGACTTGATCAACCAATGATAGCGGAGCAGCGGCGCTCCGGCTTGAAAATAAGCCAAAGTAAAAAGGGTCTCGATGCCAGCGGCGCCCGGCTGAATCAAAATGTTATCTTTTATTCCAAACCCATTAGCAACCTCCCGACACGTGCTATAATAAAAATACACATTTATTTTGGTAAAAATGGGATGAAAACAGCACTTCAAAGCTCTTGGAGATTGAAGTAGCAATTTGAATGTTTCATGCGCCACCCCCCTTCCTTTCATTGCATTGCTGGGGCTTCGGTCATGAGGAGACCTATTCACAAAGCCCAGGATCGTCCATTCAGGAAGACCATTCTTTAATGTAGAGATATCATGTCTTCTCTTAATGTACAGACTGGTTTGAGTGTGTTCCTGCGTGTGTGCGTGTGTGTGTCTGAAAGTAGGCTAATGGAAGTTCAGGCAGCCGGGGACCAATAAAAGAACAAATGGCAAAAAAACTAAACTAAAGCAAACTTCTTCAAAAGTAGAACAGTACTATGAAATAAAATAGAAAGATTCTTTTTGTTGAAAAAGACAAATCTTTTGAATGCATCATGCTATCAAAGGTTGGGCGTTTTGGGAGATGTTTATAATCTAGATTCTTGTACCTGTAGAATAATACAAAACGCCTGGCAGGTCAATCCTTAGAACATGGACCCAGGATCTAAAGCACCTTATTCATTAGTAATCACGGCCGTTGTACCCAAGATGCTTGAAATCAACACTTACTGTGCGACTGCCGTCCCTGGTTGGACGGAATGCTCAAACCTGCAGTGGAATCCGTCTCTTTGTCTTCTAGTGACGAGGCGGCGCTGGCCGGTCCGTGCCTTTGAGTCCCGGTGCAGAGCCGTTTTAAAGGCAGCAGGCCGGTGTTTGCGTATGTAGCTTCAAATCCCAGTGGGTCTAATTCAACACTTGTTCGTTGCGCCGCGGCACCTGGAGACCGGCGGCCTGATGTCTGACATGCTGTAGCCCGTGGCTGCTTTCCAGCTCGGCATCAATCGGGGGATCAGCAGCCGTGTAAAACAGGCCCACGCGACCTGAAACTTTAATGGCGACACAGAGGCAACCAGGACCCCGCTCATCCCGCCCCCCCCCCCGCCTGTTCCTCCGCGCTGAGGGACCCCCCTCCGTGACGGTGGTCCCGGCTAATCCGCAATCCCCAGTATGTGGACGGAGTCCCGGCCGAGCCTCCGTCAGAGGGACACGGCAATGAACACCTGGGACTCATTTTCAGATGTTGTAACAAGTAAGTCATGTGAGAGGTGCGTTCGGCCTCCATCACCTCCTCCGCACACCCCCTGCTCCTCTCTTCCGCCTGACTTCCTCCACCACGCTCCCGGCACTCTGCGCGCTGTTAATTATTGAGCGGCCCGAGGAGCAGCGTCGCGCTGCCGCTCTGCTTGTTTGAAATAGCTCTTCAGCAGTGATGCTGCTTTTTACTCTGTTTTTGTTTTATCTAATTGGACTTGAAAACAGCAATTGTCGTCAGTTTTTGCTCCCCAGAGGTGAGAACTGGGGTTAGAAGTCAGGTAAAATATCCCACCACAAACATCTCCTTGCCGCGTGTTCCTGGGCCGATGCACTGGGAAGGATGCAAGTGTCCATTTTTCTAAAGTACTTTTGCAGCTTAAACGCAGCGTCGCTATTTGTCGAGTTCGAAGAGAGAGGCTGTTGTTCCTACAGGTGACAATTATACCTGCACTTCTTTTCAATTGATTTACTTCACGACTGTGGAAACCGCCGGGCTGACTTGTCAGTGGAGGTGATTCACAGTCTCCAGACGCCGCGTCCACAAAGGGCTGGATGGATTTGCGTACAACTCTGTCTGCTCGGTTGTGACGTTACTACGACAGTTACCTCATTTCTGATTGTAACGCGTAGCCGTCCAACAAAGGCACAGGAAGAGGCTGAGGGCCACTGACCAATGGGTTACCAGGTAGACTAGATGGTAATGGACACAGTTCAGCTCACACGACTCATTGGATCAGCTTGTCGTACAAAACAACACAACGGTGGCACATTGTACATGATAGCACGCGCTACGCCGCTGCGCTACGTCGTTACTCTTGACTTACATTATCTAATTATCCTATCATATAAAAAAAACCCAATTGATATTCAGTTGCTTCTCCAAAACCTACCGAAGCGTTTCCCAGCGTTGACCTTGTAGTGTACGAACGCTCTCCTGCCATGAATGTGATCAAGGTGCATCTTTAAAGACAATGCTTGAATGTCGTTTGTTGTCTTGTTTTGCTTCCAGCATCATCTGTGTGTGCGTGTGTGTTTTCCTGTGTGGGCGCTGCCGTCGGCCTCGTGTTTAACTGGATATGACACACAGTCTGTTCCAATCAGTGTTTTCATGAGCTGCTCCACTGAGATCTGGGCAGATGCCGTCTGCTCAGACACGAGGATTCTGTTGGTGATTTGGTGCACGTGTGTGGCTAAATACACTCACGTATGTATGGTGATTGTATCTGTGGTGATAAAAGACAGCGTCGTGCATGCAGCCTCCAAAAAAAAAGAGCATCTTAATGTTGCATTTAGAGTAAATCAGGCAGGCAAAAAAAAGACAGACGCTCCCCAGTGACCTGAATGGGGAGTCAGGGGAGAATACCCTCATGAGCTGCTCTCTGCTAAATGCACTCTCATATTAATATTTTATAACCACCCATAATGCTGCTGGGGAAAGAGAAAAAGGGAGGGGGGGGGGTCCTGAGAGAGGGGGAGGGGATTTACATCAACCGGCCCAAGGTCCCTCAGCAGGAAGTGGTGTTATTGTAGTAGTAGTAGTATTCTGCCTTCTGATGGAGGAACATCTCTCAGTCTTGCAGAGACTGTGCAGAGACGTGTGTTATCGGATGACAAACAGCACTTTGGTGTGAGGATGGACACAACAACCACGATCTTTAGAGAGGGGGCGCGTCACTGTGGAGACCACGCAACTCTAAATGTGTCAAAGGACTGTTTCTGCCCCCCCCCGAGCACCAGGGGCTCCGGCTTTAGCTTAAAGGCTGATACAAGCTAATACTAGCTCTGTGCTTATAACTATGTTTGTATAACTAGTTAGTTAGTGTTACTCCAGAGTTTCTTTATTTCCCAATCACAGTATAATTTGGTATATTAAATAAAGAAATGGTGATAATAATAATGATCAGGAATAAAATGTTGTATAAATGAAGCAGATATATGAACAAACCGTTCCGAATAGAGAGAGGAAGGAATTTGTAGAGTTCAGTGTGTGTAAGAGGTGCTGAGGAGGAGATTTGTTAATTAGTCATTTTTGTCTGTCTACAGATGCAAATAGACCAATTTGTGCAGCCTACTCCTAAATGTGTATTTGTGATACCCGCTTCTATCACAGCAGCCTTGTTTTTCCTCTAGTATCTGCAACAATTTGCATGTACATTATCTGTCAGCTGCTTCAATCTAATATTTATTATTACGAAGGATAATTCAGTACAAGTTGTACGGCACCACCACCAATAATAATGAAATAATAAAAGCCAGTTAATTATTAATGCTGATACTGTTTATTATGAACTGCTATTGATATAAAGTACGCTTGAATAAGATCTGGGCCACCTCCAGAGTGTCTGGCCCTCAATACGTCACCTCGCTGGTTTGTTACTTTTACACATTTTTCATGTGAAATTCATTAGCATATCATCGACAGTAACCGTAATTGTTTAATGAGTCGTTAATAAGTAACACAGTAATTAGCATCAGTGGCATAATTATGTGTAGTGGGCACAGCATTTTTTTGTTTGGAATAATTATCGCCATTGACAGCCTTTTTTCGCACAAACAAGTAGATCCCTGAGAGGCGGCGAAGGGGCGTAACACACAAACACACAAACACACAAACAGCGCGCTCCATCCGAGGGGCAGCGCGACGAAACACAACACTCACATAAAACAGTGATCGAAAACATGCTGAGCCCACAAGTCAACAATATATATGTATATAAATATATATATATATATATATATAGTACTCAGTGCATTTGTTATGTTTTTATTCCTTTATGCCTTATTTGTTCATTTACATAAACAGATAACATATAATACATAATTAAATCGTACTCGTGTGATATGCACAATTAAGGCACTCAAGGGAATAACATTGTTTTTCCTGCACTGATCAATTTAGAGACTTTGAGTCAACAACATTTTGCCTCCGTAGCATTCAAAATAAAAACAACTTACATTCAAGCATCCATTGCATTACTATTTTATTTGTGTTTGTACAACAGTTTACAATAAAATAATGTTGCTACTGTGTATCATTTGGATATTTAGTTTACCCTTTTCACCTGCAGTGTCATCGAAGCACATTATGTACGTGTAAGGCCGTTTTCTTTAAACCTAAACTTTTCTTTCATACACCAAACCTCCCAGTTTATATTATAATGTTTTTTCAGAGGAGTGTGTTTATTTAATTCATTACCTGATTTAAAAGACATGTCAGTCACATGACATTTATATTACTGTGAGTGATATAAAGAGATATTTAATATTCCCTCAATAAAAACCTTTGGCTCTAATATGTTAACAAAATAAAACATGCATTTTGAAGCAGGTTTTATCCAGATTTAATCCCTGGAAACAAAGGCAAATAATCACATATTTAATAAAACAATACATAATTTGCATATTCAAGTGCACATAAAAAAACCTGCAATGTAAAAAAATTATATTTTTTTATTTATTTAATGAAAAGTTTTAATGTTGATATCAATTTTTTCTTATTTCAAAGAACGTTTTTTGGGGGGTTTTTCAATCCACTATCTCCCCTATTTGAAAACAAAATGTACGGCACACTGCAGCGGTCTCACACGTGATGTCATGTACTGTTTTAAAACAGTAGCTCAGAAAACATGCCTGATGATGTCATCAGAACGAACCCCTCCAGCCCTCAGACTTTAACTACAAAATGCTCTTTTACAAATATGGTTTGAAAGACATTGGTTTCAAGGAGCCGAATGCAGGTGAGCTGCATTGTGGGTATTGTAGGATCCTTTTGGATCTCTTGGAGCTTGGCGTACTGTGGGGACTAAAAGTCATGGTGTCTTTGCTGCTTCGATTGTTACCTAATTTAAAATAATAACACTTGGAAAGATTCAGAATAGTGCACAAACGTGATGTTTGATCGTATTGAAAAAAATCATATTGTAGGTATTTATTTTACTGTCGGTTGCTAGTACACGTATCAAATGCACGAGGGGCTAGAAGGATAACCAACGTGCACGCAAAAAATGAATATCAAACATTTTCCAATTGCTGGCCCACCATAAATGATTTCTTCCTAAGGACTGTGCCTTTAAAAGAGCCTGGAAAGCAGCGTTGTATTCACAGCGATGAAGCATATGTAGCTGCAAACACTCGCTGGGGGGGGGGGGCTGCGTAGCCTGGATAATTTCAATGGGCCAGCGGCTCTGCGAATGTGAAATTTATTGACTGTCTACAAAAGCATTTTTTGGAGAAAAAAAAAGAAAAGCATTTAGTGAAGGAAGCCCCTACTGTAGACGGATGAATGCAAACACGGGGACGTGGGCCAAATGGACAAAGACGTTGGAAACATTCTATAAAAACCCAGCGGCACTTGAGCCCGGCCGGTCTGCTATCTGCCGCCTCTCCTTTGAAACACAATTATGTGACCATCGGCAAACACTGGCGCAAACACTGCCATTTTTCCCTCCCTGCCACCAGATGGTTCCATTGAGAATAGACACGG